AGAAGGGGCGGACCGGAAGCGGGGTGGGGGAAACCGGAAGTAGGGCAGGTGGAGCCGGAAGAAGACGGCGGAACGGCGGCGGTTCCGGTGGTGGCGATGAGTTTCGCGTGGCCCTGGCAGTATAGCTTCCCGCCGTTCTTCACGTGAGCGCGGGAGGGTGGAGGAGAGTGGGGAGGGGGATTCGGGACCCGCGGGGGAGCGGCTAGGCCGGCCCCGGTGGCGCCGGGCCCCCCCCTTCCCCTCCCGCGGAGCCTCCCGGGCCCGGTCGTTGAGCGGAACCTCCCCCTCCCCCGGTCTTCCCGTAGGCTGCAGCCCAACGGCGAGACGCGGCAGAAGCAGCTCTCGGCCTGGTGCGCCTTGGCGGTGGCCTACAGCCAGCAGCACCGGCTGCCCGCCATGACGGTGCGGGAGGCGCAGGACAGCCCGCTCTTCGCCAACCACCGCCTCCAGCGTATCCTTTGGGGCCCCGCACCCTTCCCGCACCCTCCCCCTCCCTTCCCCGTTCCTCCACCGCCTCCTTAACGCGCTCCCAGGGAAGCTCCCGCTGGAATCCATCCAGGTGGTGCTCGAGGAGCTCCGCAAGAACGGTGGGTGCCGTCCGTCTGTCCTGTGTGGGGCAGGGAGGGAGCCGCTGGGCAGGCTCGGGGCCGGTAGCCGGTCCCGGGGCTCTGCAGCCCGGCTGGTGGGTGCGGGCTGTGCCACCGCAGGGTCCCTGGCTGTCCCTGCCCCCGCTCTGCGGGGCGGGTGGGTGAAGCTGCGGGGGGAAGAGGGGGCTCCAAAGAGAGATGAACGTCTGTAGACGTGGAAGGACGTGTAGGAAGTTGGTGCAAGTGGCCACGAGGAGGGGACCTGACAGTGCTGGTGGGTGTCTTTAGGCTGGGAGTCTTTAGTCTGGAGAAGAGGAGGCTGAGGGGAGACCTTATTAATGCTGACAAGTATCTCAAGGGTGGGCTGAGGGAGGAGGGAGCCACAGAATCACAGAATCTTCTAGGTTGGAAAGGACCTTAAAGATCATCTTGTCCAACCGTCAACCTCACTTTGACAAAAATAGACACCCCCACAACAAACAAGGAGCATCATCACTAAACCAGACCTCCCAGCACTACATCAACCCGTCTTTTGAACACCTCCAGGGATGGTGCCTCAACCGCCTCCCTGGGCAGCCCATTCCAATGGCTGAGAACCCTTTTGGTGAAAAAATTTTTCCTTATATCCAGCCAGACTCTTTTCAGTGGTTCCCAGTGAGAGGACGAGGGGCAACGGGCACAAGTTGGAACAGAAGAGGTTCCACTCAAATATGAGGAGAAACTTCTTCCCAGTGAGGGTGGCAGAGCCCTGGAACAGGCTGCCCAGGGAGGGTGTGGAGTCCCCTTCCTTGGAGATTTTCAAGACCTGCCTGGATGCTCCTGAGTAACATGCTCTGACAAGCTCTAGGCAATCCTGCTTCAGCAGGGGAGTTGGACTAGATGATCTCTATGGTCCCTTCCAACTCTGAAATTCAGTGAAATTCAGTGTCATGTCCAGCACGTGTCCTGAAAGCTTCAGGTTTGATCGTTGCTGTAGAGTTGTGCTCTGATTAAATACCTTCTCCCTGTTGATTTTAGGGAACCTGGAATGGTTAGATAAGAACAAAACCAGTTTCCTGATCATGTGGAGGAGGCCGGAAGAATGGGGAAAGCTCATCTATCAGTGGGTGAGAACGTGGAAGCTGCCTGGTCCCAGGCTGGGCTTTCTGTGTCTGGGGGCAGGGGGTTTGGGCTGCGACTTGTGAAAAAGACGACTGTAATATTTTTCTGTTGCTTCCTCACTGATTTTGTCCTCCTCCTTCCATCTCTCTCTGTTGTAGAGAAGGGTAGAGGTGTTACAGCTTTTCACGTGCCCTAAGATGCAGTTTGAGCAGCGGGTGCAGGTGTCCCCTCCCACGGCAGTTGGCTGTTCCCTAGTGAGGACAGAGCAGGTCTCTGTGTTCCCTTCATATGGCACGAGCCCTTGTGAAAAACGTGGGCAGAAAGAGCAGAGAGGTCAGGAAAGGGACCGTCTTAGTTTCCTCAGGTGTCATTTCTTGACTCTGCAGTGCCCCACGGCATTTCCAGTGTGTTTTTCCTCATCAAGTGCTGTCCCCGTTCCATTTCGCTTGCTCTGGGATGTAGGAGAGATCCTGCCAATGATGTTAAATCACACGGATGAGATTTGCTGAGTTGCTTTTGTGTCTCCAGGTGTCGAAGAACGGCCTGACCAACTCTGTGTTCACACTGTATGAACTGACCAGCGGAGAGGACACAGAGAACGAAGGTAACACCATGTGTTATGTTCCGGAGCGGGTTTTCAGAGCTCACCCGATTTGAGCACGTCAACAATTGATTGTCAGGTCATAGTTTTGCAGATTAAATATTTTAAAATGGCTTACACCAGCTCACACCAATCACCACTGGCAAGTGCCTCTACAAAGGTGTTTTCACCGCTCTGCGTGAGCATCTCCCCTTGTTATCTCTGTTTGTGTTTTAAACCTGCCCCTGCCCCACCAGCCTCCCCAGTGCCCAGCTCTTATCTGTGGGGAGGTGCGGGGTGTTTTGGTTTTGTGCCTGGTTTCTGTGCTGCCTCTGGGACTGCTGTGACTCATTCCCTCCTCTGCTGACCTTCAGGCTTTGTTCCTGGTGCGACGACGGAGGGATGTGTCTGTCGGTGTCTCTGGGTCGGCCGTAGTGTTGTGGTGCTGGAGCCTGCAAGGTGCTCTTCAGAGCCCTCTGCTCCACTGCCACCAGTCCCTGGATGGTGTAAAGCCTCTTTGTTTCCTGATATGTTTTTTTTTTTCTTTTTTTCTTTCCTATTGATGGGGATCTTTTGTCCTTCCCTAGAGTTCCACGGCTTAGATGAGACCATGCTGCTCCGAGCCCTGCAAGCCTTGCAGCAAGAGCACAAGGCTGAAATTATCACGCTGGACGATGGCCGAGGTGTGAAGTTCTTCTGAAGGAGCCCCCTCCCCTCGCTCCCCCCTGGCTGCTGAAGTGTTTCTTGCTGGGAAGGTTCACTCTCCTGGCCTGGGTTTGACACCGTAACTGCAAGCAGCTGCATCCTCGGGATGCAAGGACAATCTGCAAAGCCTTCCAAAGACGTGACTTCTTAGAAACACTCAGAGGTCCTCTGTCTGTCTTTCTTCCCTGTGTTTGAGAGGCCAAAGCTGCTCTGGGCAGAGGGACCACCCAGCAGTGAAATAACAGGACTGCTCCTGCTGCTCATCCCTGCTCTTGCAGTCTTTTTGGCTGCCTGGTGGAGCTTGGTCTTGGAGGCACCCCCTTCCTTCCTGCAGCCCTGGGCTCGGGCCCTGCAGCCCCCTCTGCTTTGTCTGGGGTGGGGGGAGAGGGAGCAGAAGGACTCGCTGCGGCTGCTGCACCGTGGACGACCCCGACAGCAGGAAATGCTCTGGCCGCAGAGCAGGCTGTGCTGTGGGGTGGGGGGGGATGCCAAGGAACTAATTTGAAGTAATTAAAAATGAGACGTATTTATAGAGCAGCCTGGATGTTTTCATCTCTCTCTCTCTGTTTCCCTCAGAAACAAACCAGCAGCATTTTGCCGATTCTTGCCTTTCAGCTGCGTTTCCTCCCTGTGCACCACCTGAACTCAGCAGTCGGGGGGGAGACCCCCCACCCCAGGGGGAAGCAGCAGCTCAAGTGTTTTTTTTCCAGGTGCTGGCACCATGGTCCTTGTGGACCCTCACTGCCTGGCTTGGGGGCAACGTTTAATTTCATTTTCCACGTGCAGGGCACTGAAAGATTGGAGTGAGCTCTGTGCAGCAGCTTTAGATCCTCAGTGCTGATAACGAGTACCCAACTGGTCAGAAAACATGACCCGGGTATGGTCAGACCCAATAAATCCTTAACCCCTGGCTGGGGGAGGCTGGAGCCCGTGCCAGGCCAGGACCACACTTGTCTTTCCTGTTCTTTGCCCAAGATTTTGGTGCTTGTTGTAGGCAGAGAGGGGTTCTGTGCTGGGTTGGAAGCAGTGTGGCCATCGTTGGGATCCTGCTCCTCATGGTCTCCGGCTGTCGGTGCTCAGCTGGTGCTGACAGTGTGTCCTGCCCCAGGAGCAGAGCTTGGCATCAGCTCAGCTGGTACCCCTGGGAGGCAGTGGGTACCCCTGGGAGGCAGTGGGTAACGCTCAGCCTGGTCAAGACACCAGACTCTAGGCTGAGCCTGTGGGCCTGTGAAATTTTAAATCTTTCCTTTTCATAGCAGGAGCCCATTGAGCCAAATTCCTCATTATTCCGCTGGCTTGATCTGGGCACATCTCTCTGGAGGCTGGTGGCTGGGGTCCCTGCTGTGCTGGTGACAGCAGTGTTACTGAGGAGGAGTTCATCTGATCCCCAATAACCAGCCTTTAGCTGGGGACCTTCATGTTTCCCTGCTCTCCGGAGATGTGACGCTGACCTCTCCGCGTTGTGTTCGAGTCGCATGTGCTGTGTGTAACCTGCCTGTCCTTGAGTCAGTCTGTGTTCTTAATTAAATTTGCTCCCTTCTTAGGAAATGGCTGATGTGACATTAGATAAGCCTAAAAACAGCCTTTTTCTTTCCAAGGCATTCCTGGCAGCCATTCCCTGCTCTTTTTTTTTTTTTTTTTTCAGCTTCCTACTTACTTGCTTAATTACTGAGAGGAGGAGGAAGAGTATGTCCCGTGTTTGGAATGGACATGGTGTAAAATTCCTTTTTTTTGCCCTCTTGGCCAGTTACAGGAGGTCACATCCAGCTGTGCCCGTGAGTCCCGGTGGCACCGGCTCCCTGTGCCAGGCTGTGCCACAGTGCTGGTGGGCACTGCCATGGGATGGTGCCAGGGATGGAAGAGCCGCTGGTGCTGCCACCCTGGAGGGGACAGATGCTCCCTGGCTGTTCCCTCTGCGAGGAACAGGGTGGTTTGCAGCTCCTGATGGTGTAAGGTGTCCCCGGAAGGTGACACAGAGCCTTGGAGTCATCCCCTAAAAAACGGCTTCCTTATCTTTATTTGTTGCTCCACAGCTTTGGGTGACGTAACGGTGGGATGGGGACAGCGACACCAGCCCGGAGCTGCTGCGTGGGGCTGCTCCGTCGTGAAAACCCTGGGGTGCTGGGTAGATGAGGAGCCGTAATTAGACTGCTGTAATTAGACCGCTCCAAGGGACAGAGCTTGTGGTGGCCTCCAGCATCGCTTTCCTCTAAACTTCCGCGTGCTGCGGGTGCTCCTGGGGTGAAGGGACGGGTGGGGGGTTGTCAGGGGCTGAAACCCCCCCCAGAACCTCCCTCCCCTGCCTGCACCAGGGATCCTGCCATCCCTGTGGCACGACCAAACCCTTCTCATGGAGATTTGGGCATCCCAGAGTTTAGAACCCCAAACCCAAACTCCCTGTGCTCCCCAACACACCGGCACGGGGCTGCTGAGCTCGTCAGGGGAGGCAACATTTCTGTGGGGGGGGAGCTGATGTGACCCCCTGGCTCCAGCCCGTGGCCACTCTGAGGCCGTTGCCACATCTGGCCACCGCGATTAGGGCTGAGTGGCCGGGGCGAGGCAGAGCCCCGGGGCTGGGGCTGCGATAAGGCGCTATCAGGCTCCGCACAGGCGGGTGCTGCTGCTCGGGGAAGGGGAAGCACCGAGAGGGTTTTTTGTTGAAGGCAGCTTCTTCGGAGCGAGGGTTGGTTCTGGTGATAAAATTTATATGTTGGGATAAATTTGCAGATGGGTTACAGCCGAGGATTTCCTCGGCGCAGAGTTAAGTTATCTAGAGCCACGGCTGAGGTTTGGGTGGCAGCTCCTCTCCCTGAACTGCCAGTGTCAGGGCAGGGGGGGACAGGACAGGAGGGGGTTTGGGGGCACCAGGCACTGGAGCCACCCATGGCCCTGGGTGGCCACAGAGCCCTCCCCTGCTCTGACCCTTCCTGGGGTGGGTGTCCTGAGCCTCCCACCCCCTCTGTGGGTTCGCCTGCCTCCAGACCCCTCACGGCCCCTCCGTTCCCCCACCCCGAGCTCTGGGATGAGAATGGACAATTCCTGGCAGGGCTCGCTGGAGCAAGGAGCTGAGAAGGGCTTTGATTCATGATCTAATCCTGAGGAGAGCGATTACGCAGTCCCCCTGTTCTCTTCCTGGCAGCCAAATGCAAGTGAGAAATGGGTTGCGTTGCCTGATTGCGGCGGTTCCTCAAAGCAAAGGGCTGGCGCTGGCACCCGCAGCCCAGAAATGTCACCCTGATAACGGCTGGGGAGCTGCGAGCACAGTGCTACTGTGGCAGCGCTGCAACCAGGAGCTGATTGAGGAGCAGGAACATTCAGATTTGGGGACTGGGTGGCTCCAGCTGGGAGTTCTGGGCTGGGTCAGGAGGGGACCCGAGCCCCTGCCCCATTTCTGCCCCCCCCCTTCCCCACCAAGCTCACAGCATGGGACAGCATTTGGGGTTGGTTAGTGGGGTTGGGGAACTTCTCAGGCCATTCACCGGGGGGGTGTGGGAGGGTGGCAGCCAGAGCAAACACCACCCCGAATTTCCTCTCCTGTCTGTGGGGGCCTCGCCAGGACCGGGACGCTCCTCTGCTCCTCTGGGATCCTCGTAGGCGTCTCGTTTCACGATGAAAACACTTGATAACGGGGCAGGAGCCTACCAGAGACCGAGCCCAGATCCCTGCCCGGCTCCGTGTCTCTCCCCAAAGGGCTGGGGCTCCCTGCCAGCCTGGGCAGCGCGGGGCCCCTGGCGGGGACCCCCGGGGGGGGGGAAGGGGGGCTGCAGAGCAGCCCATGGGGGCTCAGGCAGCGTTTTGTCTGTCCAGGAGCCCTCCTGCTGCTCAGAGCAGTTTGGTCTCACTGCTCAGCTCAGTGAGTCCCCATCATGGATGTGCTGGCTCTGTCCTGCAGCTCCTGGGCTGAGCTGGGACCAGTTTTCTCTCTTCAGGGTCCGTGGGGGGACAATCCAGCTGGATGCCCCTGGAGCACATGCCTGTCCCGGGGTGGTGGGAGCTCCCACCCAGTGCCAATTACTGCCCAGGACAATCTGTTCTCCCATTTAATTTGGGAAGCTGTTGGAGAACACCAGCCGGTGCTGGGGTTGCTCCTCCGGTGGGTCCCAGCGCTGCCCAAGACACCGGGTTCCTCCTGCAGCTGCGGAGCCAGACGTGGAGCTGCCCGACTTGTGGATCAGGCTGAGGAAGGACTGCAATCTCCACCTCTGCTGGAAACTGTAGTCAGGGCAGGATAAAAATAAAAGCAATTACTTTTTAAGCAGGGTGTTTTTTAAAGCTGACATGTTACGTGAGTGAAAGCTGCAGATTGTGTCCTGCCACAGGTCTGGGGGAGAGGCTGAAGGGGCCAGGAGGCTCTTTGCTCACCTCCTCCTGCCCTCCTGGGTTGGGACAGGGATCACCCAGCTCCTGTGTGGGCTCCTCACTTTGCACAGCCAGCGAGATGCTGGAGGAGAGAGCTCAAGGGAGTGGGAAAGCCCAAGAGACACAGCGTTGGAGGCAGGAGTGGGGGCATGAGGGGTGCACCCCTTTCTGGCAGTGGCCCCAGTGAGAAGCTGGCAGGTTCTGGGTGGGTCTGGGGCAAGTTGCATCCGAACAAAGCCCGTTGTTTGGCAGAGCTGAGTCAAACCCTGTCACATCTTACAACACCGGTGTCTCCTGCGGCCAGGCCGGCACCGCACCCATCGCCCATCAATCATAGAATCATAGAATTGCCCAGGCCAGAAGGGACCTCCAAAGGCCATCTAGTCTGACCCCCCCGCAGTCAGCAGGGACACCCCCAACTAGACCAGGTTGCCCAGGGCCTCGTCGAGCCTCACCTTGAATATCTCCAGGGAAGGGGCCTCAACCACCTCCCTGGGCAACCTGTCCCAGTGCTCCACCACCCTCACAGTGAAGAACCCTCTCCTCATCTCCAGTCTAAATCTGTTCCCCTCCAGCTTGAAGCCATTGCCCCTCGTCCTGTCACTGCAGGCCTTTCTAAACAGGCTCTCCCCAGCCTTCCTGTAGGCTCCCTTCAGGTACTGGAAGGCTGCTATTAGGTCTCCCCGGAGCCTCCTCTTCTCCAGGCTGAACAACCCCAGCTCCCTCAGCCTGTCCTCGGAGCAGAGGTGCTCCATCCCCCTGATCATCCTTGTGGCCCTCCTCTGGACCCTCTCCATCAGGTCCATGTCCTTCTTATATTGAGGGCTCCAGACCTGCACACAATACTCCAGGTGAGGTCTCACCAGAGCAGAGTAAAGTGGCAGAATCCCCTCTCTGGACCTGCTCTTTTGTCTCTGGCAGCCCCAGCTGCCCGGTGCCCCAGCCTCTCCCGCAGGCAGCAGGCAGAGCCCCCGTGGCACGGCTGGCACCGAACACGTGTCTTTCAGCTGGCAGTGGCCGTTCCCCCGGGACCGTGCCCCACGCACGCTCCGGGGAGCACAGGGCCGGGTGAGGATGCGGTCACTGCTCTTGACTCACCAGCCCGTGCCGCAGGCAAGTGGCTCAGAGGGGAGATGTGGGTCAAAGCCCTCCCTGGGAGGTGGCACCCAGTTCCTCGGGTGAGTGTGGTCATGCAGAGAGTCAGCCTGCGTGGGGGGATCGGTGCTGGGACACCCAGCTGGGTCAGGGCTTCCACAGGAACATTTTATTGAAAGCTTCTCCCTCCTCCTGGCAGTCAGGGGGGTTTGTGGGGCTGTGGGGCGCAGGACGTGCAGGTCCAGCAGCCCTGGTCACCCAGTGTCACCCTGCGTGCAGCAGGTCAGGGTTTGAGGAGGACTTGGCCGTGCTCCTGAGTCGATCTTCTCCTTAATGTTTCCGCTACCGTTGAGCAGAAACAATCTGACCTTAGGGAAAAGAAATTAGCGCCGGCCTCAATTGCTTTGTGTTTTGGGTAAACAGCCTCACCAGGGAGAACAACCTGCTCCTTTAACCTGGGCAGACAACAAGCTCTTGTCCGGGCCCTTGGCTCGCGTAGGGCTGACACACACCTTCGTATCTTCCCGGTGCCATGACCCTAATTTTAGGATTTTGGACTGCAATAAACCCGGAGAGGAACGGCAGCCCGGGCCGGTGCGGGCAGTGCCGGGGCGATCCCGCAGCCCGGGGTGCAGGACGGGGGCTTTTCCCGGAGGCGGTGCGGGACGGGGGTTTCTCCCGGACGCGGTGCTGGGGACCCCCCCGGGCGCTTTCCCGTGGCCGGTCTGAGGCCGTGTCACTCGCCCGGGGCTTCGGTCCCAGCGGCCACATCGCCCGGAGCTTTGCGGG